CAAATATAAATTTGTGCAGTTTGAAAGTCAAATTTGTTCTAAATCATTATGTTGCAATTTGTATTAAAATGCATAATGCAACAGAATCAGTGTAATAAATAGAGTTAATGCAATCAACTATTAAAGCATATTATATTTTTATTTAATATTAAACTGGTTTCCTTTAAAATTGATATCTGTAGAGTTACATTTTTTTTTTACAATAAAACTAGAATTTAAGTTGTCTCTTAAGAAATTTTATGCGAACTGTCACGTAATTGTTGATAAAGAGTCCGTTTCGGGCAATGAAAGTAGTTAGGTATTTCCATAAATAAATGACATCTGTTTGACTGAATATTTCTTAATGAGTCATTTGTATGGTCGACCTAGTATTACATTTTCAAACGGATTTAATCTAGGCAATTCTTCACTTTGTTTCACTATCGCTTTCAGTTTAAATAGGAAGCAGTTAATTCCGCTCATTTTAAGGTTCACACAGCTGTGATGGTCAGTTAATAACAGTCTACTTCAATGAAGATCTAGTAAATAATCATACAAAAAGGGAAAAGGTCTTAACAGGTTATTTTTTTAAATTCGAAATAAAACCGAAGATAATTGTTTAAAATTTGGAAATTCTTTTGAAATTTCCTAATTCATAATTTCATGATTTCCATATTTTTTTCTTTTCAATGAAAAGTTTAGCTTATTTTTTTATCTTATTTTAAACATATTTAAACTATTGTTTCCTTTCATGCAGTATAGTGTGTTTTCATGGTCATGGTCATGGTCATAGTCCTATGAAATTGGTTTCTTTGGATGATGATGTGTAGTTTTACATGATGATTCGTGGGATATGGTTTTAATTTATTTAAATTAAAAACAAATACATGTTATTGACAGTTTTACCGCTGATTATTATTCTAATTTTTTTCACTATTAGAAATTCAGGGGTATTTGTATTTTGTTCTCATTCTTCCTCGTAAATCTTAATAATTTCTAATTGACAGTCAGCTCCTCACTGTACACATATTTTATTATAGAACATGTTTATATACAAAGCGTCTAAAAATAATGTAACAAACATCGGGGTTAGTAATGTCAAATTAAGAAAAAAAAAGTATATGAATATACCCTCCAAAATGTGTTATAAGGAAGCTACGGCCCCTTAAAGAATACGTCAAAAAGTAGAATTCTGTTTCTCCCTAGCTATTTTACGTACATTTTTTAAACTCAAGTTTATGCAAGGGAAAGCGATCTTCTCCGTTATAACTTGTTCATTTCCAATTTTTGTTTAAAATTGGTAAACTCCTCCAAATTCCAAGCTGATGTATAGGTTCAATAGATGCCCCCACAAAAATTTAATTATAATTGATTTTCTTCTAGCCACTTCTAATAATGTTATAAATTCAATGTGTTGCTTGTAGTCCAGACGTTGGATATTTGTGCAGGAGAGGGAGCAGCACATTATTATTCGACAGGTCGCATTTTCACACAGAAACGATTTACCCTAACCATCATCCAGATTAGGAAAAGAAAATTTTATTAATTGAATTAAACGCCGCTGGTATCAACCTCTCATATTGACTTAAGCCAATGTTCCTACATCAAACCATACCCAAAGAGGCTGTATCCTCTATAAGTATAGCTGTTCGTACAGCTGCTGGGTTCAAACCCGCGGTCTCACCAATGACAATTCAAGGACTGACACGTTAAATTGCGGATGAAGAAAATTGTTATGTTAAACCAAATTTTACTGAAATATGATTTTTATGTAAATTTGAACTTATGACTAACTATCGAATCGAATTTAAATTCAAATATTTATTTATACCTACTGAAGTATTTCGAATATGATTAAGTGTATTGATTTCAAACGAATATACCTCTTTGTGTAACTCAATCTTTTCACATTTTCAAGCAGAATTTTGAAAAAGTTGAAAATACACAAGTTGTAATGGAAAACACCCTTAGTGATCAGCTAAACTACCCCATCTGAATTGTACATATAAGACTTTCAACACCACCCAATTTGACATAAGATTTCACATAGGAGAAAAATGTTAAAAATACATTTTGTTAAGGAGGTTTATCTGATTTGGAATTGACGAACAAATATTCATAAAAAAATTAATATAAGCTTATTAATATAAAGAAAATCCTCAAAAAAAATTATGACTAGTTTGGATATCTAAGAGACGAGATATTAATAAAATAATTTTTCACGATTTAGTACAGTACATAAAAATGCAGATTTTTTTGGTTTTTCCACTTAGAATGCGCAACAATTGACGAACAGTTTCCACAGCAACTTAAAGTAAGTGTAAATAGGAAACCGATATCTAAGGAACCGTATGACAGTTTGTAGAAATCGATTAGGTACTTGTAAGATACATAATTTATAATAATTCTCCTTCAAACTGCTGTCGTTGACTAACTTATCCTCTATATGCGTGATAGCGGTAACGCCGCGGTCTCGACGTAGCGTATTATTTGAAATTCGCAGGTGTCCAAACAAACAGAATGATCGAACGGGAGCGAGCGAATGCCGAGCCGAGCGCGCCAGCCAAGTGCAACGTTGCCAAATCTAAAGGCTTACTACTTTAGTCACTAGCGAATCTACAGAAACTTTCGTTAGACTTTAGACGTACCTCCGTACCCGATAAACCTGCATGTGTCGAAATAAAAATGTCAGTTATTAATAGGATAGCACTCTTGTAATACATTTTACACGGAAAGTTCATAGGTACTTTTTAGGAATTCTCGAAATTTGTTATAATATTTTTTGATACTATGCGTAAATTAGTTTTTACTACTCTATGAGTACTTAATTATTATGCATGACTATTCTATTTAGATAAATATTTATGTTAAATAATATACGTCAAACGGTTAGGAGCAACTAATCATCTCCCGTTGTAACTACCCATGCTGACACACTTAAAGAATAGTAAAACGAGAGAACTTATCCATCTAGAACACATCGCAAAATCGGCGCAGCGAATATGGAACTTGTTAAGTCACTCGAAATGGTTACATGAATCATGTGAATGAGAAACTCACGATGAAAGTAAAAGTAATTCTACATGTTCTTATAGCCGCATATAAGAACAAGTGAAAGAGGTTTACGTCCTCCGTGTACGAGTGTACTTTTATACGATTCAATTAGGTTTCTGGAAGATTTATTCGTGAATTATTCCTTGGATGATGTAAACAGACTCATGAAATGCTTTTATTACTAGAATGGGGTAATTTGTTTTGTATAATAAATTACTTCCTGTTTTTAAATTTGAGTAATTGACATAGGAATTAAATTGACACAAATTATTTACTAGTCCGTTTCGAGAGTTACATCAACAACTTGATTATTGCTTTTTAGATTTAAACTCGTTTTATGAAATAAATTTTAGTATAGTATGTACTTACATCAGTTTCATATTGACTATTATGCTAATTATGTGTACTACAATTGTTATAAAGCTTAGAAACGGCCAATATTACTTCATACTCGCTATGTGTTTGAAAAATACATACTATTATTTTAAATGGACATGGCCATACAGAGAGTATACGACATACGAGCGGTAAAAAATATATTTTTTGAACACCTCTGTCGCTGATGACGAGTGTTGTCCACATGCAACGAATAAAGTTTTTAAGTGAATTTAGTAATATGTAAGGGGAATTTATTAAAAGAATCATCTATATTCATCTAGTTTAGTACTTGGTAATGGTAGAAAAATTTTATGAAATATAAAAAAATCTTTCTAAAAAAAATGTTCTGTATTTGAGGTGCATCACTTGAATTTTTTTTTGATACGTCATAAACGAGTTGATTTTTTGCATTAACTTTTTATCATATATGTCATGAAGAATTACATTGTATCCTCAAGGATGTACTTGTGGGAAGTGGGTAAACATAATTTAAAAAAAATATACAGGGTGATTCACAAACGGTGATCAAAAATGAAACCTCGTATTCTATGATGAATTTTTAGGAGAGTCTTTGGTATAAAGTTTTTATCTAGGACTCTTCGTTAAAAAGATACAGGATGTTAAATGTATTTTTAATCTTTTTGAATAATTTAAAAACTGGTAAGTGAAATAATTTGAAATTGGGCACATGTATTTATGTAAACATTGTCCAAAATCTGAGGCCTTTTTCTATAATTTAGATGCTAAAATGATGACTAATGTTATTAATTTCTTTATTCGATTAAATAATCAAATGATTAGTGTTTGTCATGTCATTTAAGTAAAAGTGTTTTCAGTTCGTTTTTTAAGTTTTTTACTCGAAAATTAGGCTTTTTTCGAAAAACATAAGAGGGTAGTAATTTGCAGACAATTGGAAGACCAATTCGAAAATATCATGATTGTTACCGTGGCGTACTATTTTATTTAGAAAAATATGCCATCGATGCCCTGTATCTCCGTCATTGGTGTATCTAAATTTAAATTTGGACAATGTTTACACGAATACATGTGCCTAATTTTAAATTATTTCATATGCTAGTTTCTAAATTATTTAAAAGAATTAAAAATATGTTTTATAAGTTTAACACCCTGTATCCTTTTCACTAAGCGTCATAGATAAAAATTTTATACAAAAGACCCCTTAAAATTCTCCAAAAAATACGAGGTTTCATTTTTGATCACCGTTTGTGAATCACCCTGTATACACGTTGCCGCCACCTCAATGTTTTATTTATTTTTTCATTAAAATTATAATCTGATTTAGTTTAATTTGTAAATGCATGCTAAAATGAGATTTGGAATACTGTAAAATACGCACAAAAGCATTTTTTTTCATAAACGTACTGTATATAATATGAAACCGCAGGTAATAAAATATTTTCAGTATATTCTGAATACAAGTTTATCAGAGGAACTAGTTGCTTATATAATTATTTTCTCTTAGAATCTGGTATTGTGCGTATGCTTTTTATCAACAACAAGCATAAAAACTGCATTCATTAGGTGTCAAACTTTCTCACACCGTTATATTTACAAATACATTGAATTACCTTTCTTCCGTACGACATATGTGGTCACCAACCAGTTTTCCACATATTATTTGCACCGTCACAGAAGAAAACACACAAAGCCACTTCCACATATCGACCTGCAACAGTTATACTTGTTTAATAAGTGATATATTTTACGGGCAAAGTATTTGATGACTACAGCATAGTTTTATCAATTTAAGATTGTTGGGTTTCAATTACAATAAATATTTATTGTGACAAGATATGAGAGACGGTTAAAAGTCATTGTTTTACCTTCGAATGAAAAGTACATATACAAAGAAGGATATAGTAGTTATAAGTAATTGTTTTTTTGGTAAAAATAGGATACAGTGTCCGGAAATGGAAACAAATGGGTCAAAATTGAAAGTATGTTTTTTAGGGTGAAAATAAATAAATTTAGATAAAACTACTAATTAGTGCAATTGTCTCCTTTAACATATTAAAATTTTTTTATTCCATTTTTTAACATGATTCCGCAATATACCTACATTCCATTAAGGGTATTTTCAAAAATTTAAATTTGGGGGTATTTTTTTCTAATTAAATTTCATCTTTTTTCTGTTTGCTGTATACTAAATATTTTTTAACGATTTAAACCAACTTACCTCTATGCAAATGTCAGCGTCTAATGAGACATGCTTTTTTTAATATAGTTCTGCGAAATATAATTTAGATGTGAAGTGACTTAAATCATAAAACTTTAATAAATGTAATTACTAAATTAAAAAGGCTCCGTAGCTTATAATTACATAAGAAGATTGAGATTGATTTTTCTTTGAAACGGTGAATGTTTGTGGGTGAAATTCAACAGCTTAACTATTTATTAAAGTCTTGTTTCATGAAATACTGACATTTTCCCAAGATCTCCAATAATGGACGTAGGTATTCTGAAGATGACTATGTCTTCAGTAAAAATTATTTGTCTTGTAACTTACTGACAACTTAATTCATTCAAGGATGCTTTCCTTAAAATATGACCCATTCGTTTCTGGACAACATGTAAAATTTTGTACAGTCTTAGTAATAGCTATTTCATCTTTATTATTTGGCTGCATTAGAAAAGTTAAGAAAACATACTCAGGCTTTTGGTAAGCCATTCGAAAGAAATTAAGTATGATATGCTTCTATATCTAATTAAGAAAAAATTATTCTTTGATTGAACCTAAATGACAAAGGTTTGTTTCTCATGATCAATAATTTTACTTAGAATTGCTACTATCCAGGGTGTGAAATTAATGCAACAAAATTTGGTCACAGATTCTTAAGACAAATTTAGGGGACGAATATTTTTTTAGAAATTCAAATATGCGACCATATTTTTTTGGTTCCAAAGATAAGGGGGCTCACGAAAAAGTGTCTTAAGAGGGTTTCCAGCCAAAAAGCGTAGCACTATCAGATTCCACATGTCATAAAACCCCTGTATACCAAATTTAGTGATTCTCATACAACAGAGAAACTATGACCAAATTTTGTTGCATTAATTTGGGGGCACCCTGTACAAGCAATGTTAAAAGGCTGTTGGATCATAAAAGGTTACAGTCCGATTATTCAATCAACGATTATCAATTGCTACTAAATTAAATAAACAGGTTGATCTGGCTATATACAAACCATAGTCACATAAAAAATGCTAATAAAAAAATTTAATTGTATACATATTGTCACTGGAATTACGATGTCAGATACTATTGTTAGATAATAATTAACAAAACTTGACAACTGCCACAAAGAAAGAGACTAATGTAAATATAGAATTTGGTGAGAATACATATACAGGATGTTCTATTTCTAATGCCTTTGCGTCACTGGCTATCCCGTAACTTTTTTGAGTGTACACCAGTGACGACAGAATTTGTATCTTTAAAAGTAAACGCCATTTTAGAAAAATTGTTGCCACGTACAAAATTTTGATATCGTTTACGGATTTCGAGTAAAATTGTGCCACATAACAAAGAAACAAATTCATAACAATAATTAAAAGGTTCAGGGTCAAGCTAGGTGTCATTTAATTTTAGCTTACTTTGTTTTTCATTACTACAATACTATGGCTACAATTTATACTGTTGCTGAACAAACTGATATGTTACTAGTTTTGGGTTATTTTGAAGGAAATTGTTCTGCTAGTGTTCGAACATATGTTGAAAGAATTCCTAATCGAAGAATTCCAAATCACAAAACATTTGCTAATGCTGAGAGACGCCTTCGGGAAACAGGACGGCTAGAATTATTCAGCTGGAGGAACAAATTTTAGAAAGGGTCGAGGAAATTCCGCTAGTAAGTACAAAGGCGTTTAGCGGTAGAGATTGGCTTTCAAAAAATTTCATTAATAAAGAAATAAAAGACCAGTTATTACATTTCATCCATTCCACCTTCAATCAGTTCAAGAACTTTTATCTACCAATAGATCCTCCGTCACGTCTTGCTTTCAGTCAAAGAAGAATTCAAGAACTCAGGAAACAGAGACGATAATATCCACAAGAAAATCCTGTTTACAGACGCAACCGCTTTTACTAGAAGGGGTATTCACATAATTAACATGTTTACTGTGATGAAAATCCACATGGAATCAGTAAAAAACATGAATATGAGATTAATGTTTAGTCTGATATTATTGGTAGTATTTTAATTGGTCCTGTTATATTACCTGCTACATTGAACGCAGAAAATTATTTAGAATTTCTCCAAATGAAATTCCCCTTTCTGCCTGAAGAGTTACCGGTAACACTATGAATGAATACGATTTTCATGCATTTTGCCTTATCGGTAAGGCAATACTTAGATGAGCACTATCCTAACTGTTGGATAGGTAGAGGAAATAATGTCCCTTTAAAATGACCACCTCGATCCCCGGACCTAAACCCATGTAATTATTTCCTTTGGGGAGCATTGAGGACCACAGTTTATAGCTTTTCATTGATTACAGAAAACGAATTATGGGAAAGAATACAAAATGAAATTAATGTTATGAGAGATAGGTAATGGATAAAATTAATCCATTACCTACCTAGGAATTAACGCCTGCGTTCAAGAACAAGGAAGTCACTTTGAGTATTTACTATAATATTATTTTAATGTGAATACAAATATCAATTTAGGTTTATTTAAAATGTTTATGTTCAGTTTCTTATATTATTAGTTGATACTGTTTATTTAAAATACTGTTGATTTTTTATTTTATTGATTGATAATACTAAATAAGACTAAAAATGTGTAGTTTTGTTTTTTTTAATGTGGTGTTTTCATTATTATTCCCTGCTTTGAGGCTGCAATTACAAATTATATTTTAGTAATTGGAATTTTTGTCTATACTTGATGTATAATGCCAATTTTACTCGAAATTCATAAACTATATCAAAATTTTGTAAGAAGCAAAAAATCTTTTAAAATTGTGCTTATTTTCATTCACTGGCGTACACACAAAAAAGTTAAGGGATAGCCAGTGGCGCACAGGCATTAGAAAGAGAACATCCTGTATATGTATTCTCACCAAATTATTTATTTACATTGCCCTTATATAAAAAATATGTGTACCAAATTTGAAGTTTCTAAGAAAAATAGTTTTCAAATTATTTGAAAAAACTAGGTTATCTATCCTATATTTAGAAGGCTATATCTTAGTAAGCGTGCACTTTTGTATATAGGTAAATTAGGCTAAATAGTCTTATTTTCATCCAAGAAACCTGTGGTCAAGCGTTGTCCATCCTTTTCAGGGACACCCTGTATAATGGTTTTATTAAGGCATGCTTTATTATTTATTATTTAATCAGTTCTATTCTGGAGCATAAAACCGATTGCTCTTAGTAATAACGGTAAGAGTCTAAAAGGATTTTCATACTCTTTGGATATCATAAAGTAGGTAAATATGGTAATATTATTCACTATTATTATTAACACCTTGATTTTTGTATTATATTAGTCAGTGCATGTTTATTAGCAGTATAGTCAAGTAGTTCATAATACTCTATTCAATTGCATTTCTATTTCACTAAAACGTGTAAATTATTCCGTCTGCATATTCTCATAAAAGGCGGGACATTGTTTAAACAATTTAATTATTCCGTGATTATATACTTCAAAGCTTCTAATGTATCGCATGCAAACATCGGTGATCGAAAACGAAATACAATTACACACAAATTAGTACAATAAACTTCCAGGTCCGACTTTCTAGCCGAACGTCACTAGAATTCGTAATAACATTATATCAGCGGTAATAAACTATGTATCCGCATGCATTGGTATCGGTATCCGTACACACCCTTGCAACCGTGATGGTGTGAGCAAATATAGGTAGCGCGTGATATACTGTCACCGTTACTGTACCGAGACAGTAAAATAAACAATACAATTTATAACTGACCATAAACACATAATGCCATTTACGGCATCCCATGAACATGTGGATATTTTTTTCCACTCTGGATAAATTAGTATGGTTGGTGTAGAAAGGTGTTTTGGCTTCATGATAGTATTTTGACGTAAGACATATTTATAATTTATTCGTGTTCGACTGATTGTAATAACCGAAGTCCGCTATAATCAAATAAGATACTGTAATAATTGAGATATCTACTTAGACACATGTTTTCAAGTCCTTTTGAACAAACTGTTCAATTAAAATAAGAAAAACAAGTGATTATAGCAAAATGGACATCTATTTTTCTGGGTAGATTTTTTCTATAACATACTGTATAAAAAATTATTGTCATCAAATATACGCGTACATACTATGAAAACTTTGAAACGATAAAGTTGTCACCTGCCAAAGATTTACGTGTTTGTTACTTTGAAGCAAAAATGTTCAGAAGTGGATACAACAACAAAAAATAATGGTCAATTATTTTAGTGTTAAAATGTCCCCAAAAAATATTCTTCACTGTAAATGTCTTCTGAAATACTGTTCTACTCGAGATTACACTTCTAATCAGTTGATGAATTAGAGTATGTTGAATAGATGTGGGTCATTTCCGTGTTAATAGTTCCATGATTCGTTAATAATATTGCAAACATTTTTTGTTTCGTTTTTTGTATCTACAATCGCTACTACTATTGTCTGTCTCTTCAACGATTCAAGTGAACGTGGAATAAAGAGTGTGGACACGAGTTTCACGTATTTAATTCGTACTGTTTGAACCGTACAGTTAAAACTGTGTAGTGTATGAAGCCCATAATATCAAGACTCTTGCAATAGCATTGGAAAAGATATTGGAGATAATATCGTCATTAAGAACGTCTGAATTTCCACGCCAATGAATATTTTGTAATTTCGATAATAAAAACAGGTTTCCTCAATTTTATTTAAAAAATAAAACGATCTTTCAATTATTTTTTTATTCTAAAGCAAGTCTACTGCACTCTAAAACTTTTCGCTTCATAAAAAAACTTTTAAAGGAATGTTTTATGCAAATACAATTTTAAATAAAACGTAATGGTTAAGAATAAAAACATTGGTGAAGAAATTTTAAATTTTCTAAATTGTGGTAAGGGGCAAATATTTACGCCACTGAATTTCCAGAGTTTTCATGATTACATTGTATTTAAAATTGTATTTGTAATAAAAAATTTTCATAGATTTTTTTAGTGAAACGTAAAGTTTTATTATTTGGAATTATTCAACTGTGTGATTTTTATTTTAGACTACAAAGAGTTACAACTTATTTGTTTTTGAAATAAAACAGAAGAGACCTTTTTTCTTCTGAATACCATTACGAATCAAATGAACTAATTCAAAATATTTAGCAATCCAATATACAGGGTCGGAAAGTCCCCATGGTTCATCGGCCGTTACGTGAGAGCAATAAAGAAAGTCATAGAAATCCGTGCAATAGATAAAGATGGCTATAATGAAAGCGTCTAATAGTCACCGCCCATTTCGCCCTTCCACAAATAATATCCACTTTTTATTTGTGGAAGTGCGAAATGGGCGGTGACTATTAGACGCCTTCATTATAACCATCTTTCTCTATCGCACGGATTTCTATGACTTACTTTATCGCTCTCACGTAACGGCCGATGAACCATGGAGACTTTCCGACCCTGTATAATATGTGACAATTTAGTAACATTGTGAACACCGGAACAGTTTTTCTTCAAAAATATTAGTAGTTACTTTTTTTTCACTTGCAAGGTTTGAAATATTATTTAAATATAGCTAAGCTTTTTTTGTTAGTAAGTACTTACCTACATTTCAGATACGACATTTTTATTTATAATTCCCAAATAATTATTTAGATATTAAGTAACTTCTCTATGAAGCAAAGAAAGTTAAGAAATAGTATTTTTAGTTTCATATTTGAAAATTATTTTTAAACTGATTTGAATTGGCGTATACCTACCTACAGCCTGTCTCCTCAAAAAACGCTGCAAGCTATAACTCCGTCATTTAGTCTCATTTTAAAAAACAAGAAATGATATGAAATGGCTCTAAATACACTATAGAGTGAGCCTATTGGAGCGTATTTATTATAATATTTTTTTCAAATGCGATAGTCAGCTTTTTTTTCAAATGGCAATATAGGTTTTTTAAAAACCAAAAAATGATATGAAATGGCTCTAAATACACTATAGAGTGAGCCTATTGGAGAGTATTTATTATATTTTTTTTTTCAAAAGCTATAGCTTTTGTTTTCAAATTGGCAATATAGGTTTTTTTTATTTATTATTGTGCAGATTTCTATTCTGAAATCAACGATGTATATAAAGTTTACTTTTGTGAAACATGTAGGTATTACAGAAAAAGTATGAAAATATTAGTCAATTATTATTATTAGCATTATTAGGGTCCGGTCGCTTAATTGTCAACAAACATATTTTGACTAATCATGTATGCCTGGAAAACAAAAAATAATAAAACAAAGCAAGTAAATGTCATTTTAGCGTTCGTGTCCCAGTTTTTCACGCATTCTACCCTTTCTGTGTCATTTGCAGTAGGTTATTTATTGAAATAAGCTTAACAGTGCAAAATATGAGTAATAATCAATTATTGACGGACATGATTCAGATATAGGTACTTTTTCCTCACCGAGAAGTTCCAGAACCACGTAGATTTGTAAGACTTTAAGAAAAGTTGGGAAACTCCTATGGTGCTTTTAAGAAACCAAAGCGAGAAGAACGCCAATTTAATAAAAACATCGAGTTCAATATTTTTGAACGTTGAAGAAAACTTCCAGTTAGGAAATTTCTAATAATATTAGAGCATCAAAAAGAACTGTACATGCAGTATTGAAAAAGCACACATTCAAGCCATACATTCCACAAAAGTATAGGTAATAGAGGAAAGAGATAGAGAACGACGGCTACAATTTGTTTCTTTAGTTGTTTTGTGTTTGTTGTTCTTCGTTTAATGTGTTTTGTGTTTAATTAATGTTATTTCGTATTGAGCTTTGTATAATGGTTAATGTATTTAATTAAATCGTTTTTCTTTTAATTGATATTCATTGTATTGTTTATTTTCTGTTAACTACAAAATTCTCTTTTGAGTTTTATTTGCTTTGCTGTATTACTTCTTGTTTTCCATGTCACGGATAATTAGTTAAAATATATTTGTCATGAATTAGTAGCCGGGAGCCTAATGCGGTATCGACTAAAATTTTTTCGTCTTTTCTGTAATAAATGCTTTACAAAAGTCAAGTTCATATACATCGTTGGATTCAGAAAATAAATTTGCACAATAATAAATAACAAAAAACTATATTGCCATTTGCAAAAAAAATGTTAACTTTGGCATTTCAAAAAAAAAATAAGTTCTAATAGGCTCCCTTTATAGAGTAGGTATTTAGATCCGTTTAATTTAATTATTTGTTTTTTAAAATAGTAAATAAGTTCTAATAGGCTCCCTTTATAGAGTATTTAGATCTATTTAATTTAATTTTTTGTTTTTTAAAATGAGGCGGCTTGCGGCGTTTTTTAGGAGACAGCCTGTATAAAAGAAAAATATGGAAAAGTTATATGAGAAATTTACTTGAAGACTCCAATAGTTTCAGTCCTGAACTGCTTAATTTAAAACTCATGTGTAAATTAACACTTTAATATTTTATCTGGTAGCTACACATAAAGTACAGGAAAGTCGGTGTAAACTTGAATTATTCACTTGTAGTTTATTGCAAGTAAATAAATTCTCACCAAGCAACCGGAAGCAGGCAATGGAAAATTAGTAGTACTTAAACGGTTCGAATTCAGACTTCCCACATCGCAACATACGTATATAACAATTAATAATGCCGGAATTAACAGAAAACGCTGTTCAATAGTTTAAAGTTCTAGTGGTCTCATACAGTTGAAATGTAATTTTAAAATGACAGCTTTGGAATTAACATGAATTTGTTTTCATAATTAAACGTTTAATATACAGGGTAAAACAAAGACGATGCGATAAAACTTCAGGACTCATTTCTCTTGAAAAAAATATATAAATAAATAAAAAAGATGAAGGTAATATTTGTTCTCAAAAAATTTATAATATTCAAGAGCAATATAATCCAAATTTGATACGTTGAAATTAGGTAGTTCTAAGGAGCCTCAATTGCCAAAAAAAGTTATTTCACGTTAAATATAACGTTCGTTTAGGTACATATTTCATTAGTTCACTTTCAATCAAAACTTAATACCTGGAGATATTTTTCGTGCACTGTAAACGTGTAAAATTCTAAAAACTGCGAATATTTTAGGCGATCGTTAGCAGCGTACATAAAAGTCAAATATCGTTTCTAATATTTTCTCAGTAATTAGAAGCAAATCACAATTTTGGAAACATTCCACTATTGAAATAAATGCGAATTTGTGCATAACTTTTTTTTATTCTAATCTATATCTATGCTCCGTTAGACGTACAAAATTTTATTTGAAAATATTAAAATATTTAAAAGTATATGAAAGAAGATTCTATTTAATGTTAAATTAATTTATTTTGACAATGGAAAGACCTAAGACCACTAATTTCGGTGCTACTAGTTATTTTTTGTTCATTTAGAGGACAATTGTGAAGGATTTGGACTGTTTTTTATGTCTAATCTCTTAAAGATAAGTAGAGTTTGTAGGAGTCGTTTTAGGCAAAATGCTTTTATTTTTTTATTCGTTTTGAGGGGAGCAATCATGAAAGATGAATCTGAACAATTCGAACAAACTGCTTAGGTGGCCAATGTAGTCGTCATATCTGACACTACCTGATTGTTTCTGTGGTCGTTTTTACAAAATATGTATATGTTGAGGCAATAAAACATATGGCAGAATTAACTAATACAGTTTATGATAGTTATTCAGCTATTAACAGTCACTATCTACTGTCTTCTTGCGACCAAGAATTAAAATATTTTGTGTTTGAAATACGTGTGACAGAAATTGTTTTCGAATGTAAATTGAAATTATTAATTTACACTTTTCACTTAACTTACATTTTAAATTAAATTGTTATAAAAATACTTTATCCGATAATAAGCGAAATTGGTTTTTAAGAAAGTTTACATTGAAAATGTATGAGTTTAATTTAGAAAATCAAATTAAATGCTTCTTAAAACTAATTTCAAGTCTTCTCTAAACATTTCCATCTCAATTGTATTTTTTGAAATAGAAATTCATTTTTGAGCATTTAATCGTTCATTATAATCAAGGAACTCTATCAACTACCCTGTACATAATTAAAAAAATGACTTTTCATTATCAAGTAATAGGATGGAGGAGTTTTGTATGAGTCACCCATTATCTCTTATAACCCATTATTTTTTTTTGTGTTATATTAAATACATTGTAAATATTAATTATAATTAATATTAATAGTATCTGTCACTAGATCAGATATTAAATAACATTTTCGAATTCTTATTTCAAACTGGCATTGAGGTAATTTCTGTGGTCTTTAAATAATCATGTATGATTTGAACTTAAATAAATATTCGGTTTATTACATTCATGCAGAAACAATTTGAATTCTTGCTTAAAGAGTAAGTATAAACTTACCTCTACAAATAATAATTCGAATCACGCATTGTAGTATTTATTTTGGCTAAAATAACAAGTTCATGTCAATAAAAAAAAGTTCCACGACACAAATTTAAACGTTAATCTACTTGCTGATCTAAGTGCGAACAAACTAATGACATAAGCCCAAATGTTTGGGACGCTCCATCAGATCTATTACGGGGTCATGTGGTTTTAATATTAAGAATTATTTGTATAAGGCGCGTTATACATATAGCATTAAACTGCTGTGGCAATATTCTTGCCTGCTATTATTATTAATGAAGAAGATTTTCATTTGGGTTACGTAATTCTACTGAGATTTACTTGTGTACGTAGTAATTTATGTAGCATTACATTAAAGTTTTACTTCACAATTGTGACAAATTAATTCTTTTCATCAAAAGAAAAAAAATCGAAGTAACGATTTTCCTAAAACAATGCCTAAGGGTTCTAAGATCCAACAAAGTTTTTGATACAACTATTGAAGATATATAACGGGTGTTTTTTTTAACTTGAAATTTTCAAATATCTCGAGAAATTTTAACTACGACGTACTACTAGAACCTTGAGTTGAAGTGTCATTGTAAAGAATCATGTTGGCTATTTCTTTTTTGTTACTTAAACTGTCAGCAATACAACTTTCTGCAATTATGGCTGATTTCCACCCACCATGTCTCTTGATTGCTAATACATCAACTCCTGTATTAGCCAGTAACGTTGCCGATGTTCTTCGGAATTAATGGCCTGTATATGTTTCAGGGTGTTCTAGATTCAAAAACTGTGCAATCTTATTAGGAATCATAGAAAGGGTATTCTTGTCGACTGGTTGGTTGTAACATCTACCTGCTTGATAGCGCATAAAAAGCGTGAAATTTCAGTTTTAATTTCCAATCTAATCTTGTTAAATTTCTTGAGAATGTCTAGGTGAGAAACAGAACCCAGACAAGAAGTAATTGTAAACGTACGTGACATACCATTTTTATATAATAAACTGACGTCCAAAGTTTGCATTAACTCAGAACGGCATTCTCCTGCAATACCTAAGACCGTCACTACCTTTATTAGCAAATATGTGTTATCGGGTGCCTGAACGAGAAAATTGTTGACTTGTTCTCTAGTAAAAACGTTCGACTTTTTAGGTGTATAGTCGTCATTCTTACGTTTCAAAAATGCTTTCAGCTTTAGGTATTTTGATATATCCACGTTATCCTCTATGAAAATAGTTGACTTAATCATTGAGTATTTATTCCACAAACTCGCCGGTGACTTCTCCATGAAATATGGTAGCAGTAAGATTTCAGAAACACCAGTATTTTTGTTCTGGCACCATTCTTTGAAATTTCTATATTATTGAGATAATGGAATTAATATATAACGTTTTGACAAATTTGAACAAACATCTGATCCAATGAAAGGAAATATGGTAACACTGTACGCTGTATTTAATGCTTCGACTGACGCGCTATATTTGAATAGCTCGATTATAGACTATAATCGAGTCGAAAACATATGTAGTAATAATTAATATTAAATAAATTTTTCGTGATCTAATGCAATATAATAGCAATTTGAAGTAAAAAGTGAAAGGATCTCTTTGCAAAACGAACAGTATAGATGTTCTGTCATAATCTCCAATTTGACAAGGCTACGTCTCACTATCATACACTGAACTTCTTGATAGTTATCATATGGACTCTCAGTTTGCACATTTTACTTTTTCCCCATCAATCCATATTCTGTTTCATACGCATTTTATATTACTTTTCAGTCTTTACTTTTCCTTTGTACCTTGTATGTTCATTCATGTTTACGGAATACGCGCAAAGTTGACAGTAATGACAGTTGAACCAACTTTTACCACCACGCCATGGCAATGTTGCCAGATTTCATCCATATTTTTACAAGCCCTTAATAAATAAATAGACACTTTTATGCAAATAAAAAGTTAATTGCCGTGAAAAATATATGCAAGCTAATATGTGTTGTATAAATTTCATTCATATATATTATATTTTATTAGCTCGCTCAAATTAGTTTATATAAGTTTGGTACTACAACGAAACTACCGTGTATAAGCATAGGCTTCCCAACCGCACCGCCTGCCCCGCAAGAGATGTATCCAACCTCCTTAAAGGAAATGTGTAATAAAAGTTTTATATTCCTTTTTTTCTAATTTAAGGATGTTTTTAAGGAGTCACTGTAAAGATAAGATGCAAAAAACTGCAAGTTCACAAGAGGGCCTTATTATACCACGTTTGTTGGTTTAATAAGACCTAGAGAAAGAGTTTTTAAAAAGTCAAATGTTTTTAAAAGGATTATCTCTTGTACTATTTGTCTAACATTTGTGGTAACTCAAATTATAAACTTTGTAGAAAACATAATTTTGTCATTCTAAACAACAAAATATACTAATTATTACATACTTATTTAAGTTAAGTGGGCCTTATATGCCTCAAGTACCATACTATCATTATTTGTTTGTTATAATATCGCAGTCACGCACTATAAAAAATTCTGAATAAAAAATCAATTATATGCGTCGAGTAAATATTTTACTTGACCAAACTGGTAAATCTGGTGGTAGGTAACGTCCATTTCAAAGCTGCCGCCAACTATGACAACAAAGTATCTATATTTATTATTGTTCGATACATGGTTGTTTCTGTGTGTTAGTAATTTACAATGAATGCTTTACAATACATGTTTTCGAATACAGCAAACAAATTATAATGCTACTGGACTGCTGACTGAACTGAACTGAATGCCATCAAAACTTCTTTATCTTTTCCTTTTTGTTTTAAAATGGGCTTAAAGGACGCCATGTATACCATTTTCTTATATTTTGACTACGTTTTATATCAATGCTTATGTAGTAATTAATCACAAAGTTAAAAAGAAACTGGCTACTCAAGTAAAATAGGTATATATTGTAGAGACACAGCGGTCCGTTTATGCGAAATAATATATCCTTTGTTCAAAATTAGTCAAAACAAAAACAGGTTGCGTCTACTGAATCTCACAGTTATATACAGGATGCTCTTCTTTAGTTAGTGTCGGAAAATTTTGCAATATCTAATAAATTTTGAAAATGTAAACCATTAAGTAATTAAGGTGACAATAATTAAAATAACTTTTTCTACTTTCGTTGTTTCCTTGTAAGCTTATCATCTAATCCAAAACTGGAGTTTGTTTTTAAGAACTGTGAAAAAAATAAAAAATGATTAAATAATTGCTTGCCATAAATTAAACAAATAAATTGAGAAAAAACTAAAACTATCACAAAAAATATAACTGTAGAAAATTTTTTAACGAACTTGTTACAAGATAAAACTCCTAACTTAAATCTTAAACATTGAAATTTCGGTTAGATGCATGTACATTTAAAACTGACTATTACTATTATCAATTACGCCTCAATAAAATATGTGAATTTATAATGCCAAGTATTTGAAATTTAAAATGACATAGAAGCTTTATTGTATTTTATATTATATTAGTGGTAGTAGGAGTGTCCCCTTGTTGTGAACAAAAACAAATTATGTATATACCAATTGAAATAAATCTGCATATTGAATTAAGTGTGTTATTCCTGTTATAGAGGAGCCTTTTAATAGACTAATGTAATTGAAATAAATTATCTGTAGCTTAAGGGTTTCTATGTATATGAGAATTTTTGATAATACGTAAGGAATTCACTTTTTAAATTATCTATTTCTCAATGAGTAGTAGATACTATTTAAAATTTTGAATCTATAAATATTTTTTAAATTATCTTTAGAGTTTGCACCTATCAAAAAGAATTAACCTCAGAGAGGTAGAACCTTGGAATTGTTTAATTAATTACTGAAAACAGTAATGTAATACATTAATTATATTGTGCAATTTTTCTTAGACGCCATTTCAAAATTTGTCCCATTTGTTGATAAGGAAGGCTTTATTATTAATAAAATTATGTACCTACTTAGAGCAGATGGTATCGAGTGGATAAGTATACCTACAGATATTTAGACAATAATAGAGCCCACAAAAAACTAACAGAAAGGGGTGTTTAAAAGGGGTCGGTACACCTAGGGGCAGAGACCTTGACAGTGACTGGACCTGGATGGTAGCTAATAATACATACCGTTCAAGAACGTATGGTGAATGTTAAATTTGTCTCTGTGAAATAAAACGTTAAATATTTAAATGAGACGTGGAACTAATGAAAGTGCCACCAAAATGTCAATAACCAAATTCATATGCTGGTGGGTGCGCTCTATTGCAAAGAAGAGAGATCAAAAACTTAATAGAGTGTTGGCTTGTAGCAGAGTACTCTCTATTACAATCAACTAGTGATATGACATTAAACATATTTTTAGTCTCAGAACCAAAGTTCAGGCAACGGAGTGAAAGCCCATACCAAAATTCTTCTGGCTCAACTAATTACACAACCTTTTATAAAGCAATATCGAACAGCAATCGAAAAAATCAAGTTTTTCATATTTTCAATGAGCAGACCATACTTTTCAAGTGTTCTGCGTTCAACTATTTGTATATCATTTCAGTATCCTTAATGTTGTTTTTGTTAATTCTAATAAATATTTTACATTTCATAGGCCAAACAAATTAAAAGATGTTTTGTAAAATCCAACATTAAGTAAGAATAAGACTTCTAGGATAAAATTTATAGAACAAAATTTTGTTAGAATGTGTCAGACAATCTAAAAAAAGAAAAAAAATGCAAAAATTATTTATAACAAAAACTGATGATTTTTATGTTTTGTAACGAACAAATTTCGATTCTTGTTCTTAAAAACTTCAATACTGAAAAATCAAGACGGCAGATCTCAAAGTGGCCATCAATATGCAAATGTAAGGAGGTGCGATATATCGTATATACAGACCATACAGATGCTATTATGTTGGGGAATAAGCAATGTCCGTTTCTTTTTCAAATTTAAGATATTTTACTTATAACTATAGGTACAATTATTATCAATAGGCTTCGACAAGTTTCTCGATGCTCTTCTGTATGTAGTCTGTGCGGGGATGCACAGAAGTAAAAACAGTGTAACTAGGGAAAAACTATTTATTTTCCTTAATTGGATCTCTAGACACAGAGAAATACAATGGTA